TCCTCTGCTAAGATGGGCATGGCCTCTGGCCGTTCTGCCTGGGAGTCCGAGTCCGCCGCCGCCCCCGCCTGGAAGGTCACCTCCGTCAAGACCGAGGCTGCCCCCGCCCTCAAGATGGCCTCAGGCCGTTCTGCCTGGGTGTCCGAGCACAGTGCTGCCCTCCCGACTTGGGAGTCGTCTGCTAAAATCGAGTCGGCTCGCGCTTCTTCCAGCTGGGAGTCTTCTCCTGTGCAGATGAAGGTATCCTCTGGCCACTTGGAGTCCCGGGTGTACCGCTCCGCCGAATCCCTACCGGTCCCTGCCGCCTCCGACCTGACGCAGAAGGCTGGCGATATGAGCAAGACCGTCTCCGCCCCTAGCTCTAGCCCCGCTGCCACCGGTGAGGACGCCGCCGCCAAGGACGTCACTGCCAAGGACGACACCGCCGCTAAGGGAAAAGATGCCTTGATGGGTTCATTGTTTGGGTAGTCACACAATTGTTTGTTGGTATTTTTTTTATTGAGATTCTCACCCTGCACAAGTCTACTCTCTCCTGTTCGCCGGACCTAGCTTTTTGTCAACCTTTGAGGTCAAAAACCGGCCCGAATGAATTTTGACCACCACCAGAGCCCTGCTCAATTTGAAATAAAATGACGAAGCACACTACATATGCGTTTAGACTGTTGATTCAATTCGTCACGATTGACCCTGCACCAGATGGCTGTCGATTTACTTCGTTCGTTTGTGAGTTCAAAGCCTAAGCCTGCTACACCGCGTTTACCCCGTTTCTCAGCTCGCAATAACATGAGTGACCTGGGTTTGCCGACCCGCTCGGGGTGCAGGGGCCTTGGCGCCTTACGGGCGGATCGGGTAGGCAAACCCGCAGCACTGAGCAACACAAAAAGAAGCACGGTTCGCGTGGGCCGTTCGGGCAGGCAGCCGGCCAGGCAGCCAGCCAGGCAGCCAGCCGGGCAGCCAGGCGGGCAGCCAGCCGGGCAGCCAGCCGGGCAGCCAGCCGGGCA